GGGCCCGGTGAGGGTTTGCGCGGCGGGAGGGAAAACAAAGCAGCAGGGACGCGAGTTCACGCACGGAGCGCTCGCGCTGGCCATCTCTTTCCTTAGTTTGCTTAAAATTCTGCTTTCGGTAAACCTGGGCAATCCGCCTTGCCTTCACTGAGGAAAATCTGCTTAACCGTGCAATGTAAACAACTAGTGCGGGGTGGTAACCTTTCCCTCATCATACAGAGAGATGACAGCAGCGTTCTGTGTCGAAACTTAAAGCATTAGAATGAAGGTTCATGTTTCTAACCAAAGTAGTATTTACCGAACACTCCCTAATTAGAAAAAAGCAACAGTTAAAATCGTGACGGTACAAAAGCAGCAGAACCTCAGAGCTGCTCACTAGGCCGTGTTCACGGAGCCGTTGTTTCCAGCGCGCAGTGTTGAAGGTTCGAAGCGCGAGGCCCCGCTGGCAGAGCAGGTCAGCGCGGAGGGGGAGCGCGGTGCCGCGTTTGGAGGTTTTTCCTGTCAGAAGAGCTTCGAGTGCTGCTGTGCAGTCGAATTTGGGAAGTTAATTTGTCATCTCTAAACAAGGGAAGAGAATATGCTGTTTGTTGGAGTCCTAGCAGGCAGATGTTTGTATGTGTACACAGAGAGGACGCACAAGGTAGGGAAATGCTGTCTAGGGTAGTGTTAGGCAGCACAGGTCAGCTTCCCAAATCACATTCCCAGTGTAGTGCCACTGCACTGTTGTTGATATAGTAAGCTGCTGAAAGGATTGAGTAGGCATACTGAGGAAAAAAACAAGGGAACAAGGACCTCTCAAGGATTCCAGCATTACTGTAACATTATAAACCAGGGCTGTAAGCAACCTGGTCTAGTGGAAGGTGTCCCTGCCCATGGTAGGGGAGTTGGAACTAGATGATCTTTAAGGTTCCTTCCAATCTAAATCATTCTATGATTCTATGAATCTTGGGTACTTTCTAGCAAAGTACAGTTGACATAATCTTCATATATATGTACAATAGAAAGTCCATCACGCCTCTACTTGTGTGACAAAAAGTCATAAAACTGGGCCACAGCATTCTTCCCTCAGCTGAACATTCACATAGCTTAATAGGCATAGCAAAAGTACCTGAAAGACAAATCAAATGAGCACTGTGATGTAGATACTTTCCAGCAATACTTCAAACTAATTACCTTCAGCATCCTTGACACTGAACGACTTGCACTCCGTAATTCACAGACTGTGCCTCAGGCACTTCATTTGGAAGCAGGAAGCAGGACTCGTCTTCAAGATCCTGCACTTGGAGCTCTGAAGACCAGTGCTGGATGGATGCCTGTTGAACGCTGAGCTGCAGCCAGAGTGGTGAAATTCAACAGCTGCAGGACAGATCGTTACATGGATTGGGGGAAAACTTTGTGCTGACAAGTCCAATTAATATTTCCACAATACTGAGTGATGAATGACAGAATTCTGTAGTCAAAAACTATTAAATACAGAGGTCAAAGTACCACACTCCTGCATTAACTTATGTATGATGATCCAGAAGCAGCAGTGACAACAGCTCATAAAAAAAACTGGCAGGCATAAGATGGAATGACTTTTACAAAAAAAGCGTTGAAAGAATAGGATGTTAAATGAAGATACAGGATTACCTACAATAAAATTGATCGCCATCTTGGGAACACTGCTGAAGGCTAAATTCCAACCATCAATGTCAGCTGGCTCTTTGAGATCAACTTCCAGCCAGATGGCAGGGTACCGCATGATGGGGTACGGCACCACTGTGGGCTTACTGGGAGAACAAACCCCAAGGTAGGACTGAATAACAATGCTGACTGACAGATGCTCTGGAGGGACAAAAAAATGCCAGTGACAGAAAAAAAGTTTTAGTCAGCTGTAACTAATTTTCTCAAATTCCCCTCTCAGTTTGTATCACCTAAATACTACATTTTAGCTAAAAGTAGAACTTACCACTTGTTGGTACATGGTATTTATCTTGACTGATCAAATACAGTATTCTATTTTTATTTATAAGAAAGGACTGATGGACTTGCATGAGTTCTTTCAATTAATTTTATTGAGTAGCCAAATCTGATAAATTAGCACAGATAAAATAAGCATTTGCATGTGTTACAAATGACTTTTTACAGGAATAAAACAGTGAAAATTACAAACTGTAAAAAGGAGGACAAGTAAATCCTGTCTCAAATTCAGAAGGGGAAAGATTTATAACTTCATACTGAAGATACAATGTTTGAGTTCAGAAAACAAAGATTTAATATTACAATATTATACACTACTTTACAAAATTAAATTTACTATAAGGAATACATCCACAATAGTAAAAAGAACCTTAAAATCAGATTTAATGGTCCCTTATTTAACAGCCATTCTGCATCTTTGATTAAATTCTGTTAAGAAATTAATTCTAAACAAAAGTGAATCATTCTAGTTATTGCAACATAGTCTACGTGGACTTAAATATATTAAATTAAAAACGATAATGAAAGCAAAGTAAAATGGATGGTAATAATGTTGGCTGAACACTAATGTGTCAAATACAGAAATAGTTTAAAAAAAAGTCTTCAACTAGAAAAATAGAGTACATTTGCAGTGGTAGAGTTGTCATGCTGAGATCTCAATACCAGAGCCACTCTTGCATATTTCTGCAGTTCATCTTCAGTGTCCTCATTTTTCCATTGTAGGTAAAAATGACACATCATAGGTAGTTTGTGTGTTCATCTGTCCTATACTGCCGTTACAGCAATACAAGGTGAACCAGCAGGCCTTTCCCACTGCAAGGGAATAAACTAATGAAGTTCGATACAGAATTTCTTCCAAAGTGAAGAGAACTCCAAGAAGGTTCATCTGATTCTTGGTTATAATGTTTTGCTCTGTAAAACTTAGGGACTCTAATTCAAAGTTGTTAATTGCCACAAAGACTGACATCTTTAGCCATTAGTCTGGTGTACGTAAAGCAATGAAGCCATCTCCAACATTTATGTTTTTTAAAAAAAATAAGGGATATAGTAGCAAAATACAGTCATAGTAAGAAACAGACTTTGGGTGGGCTGTTAGATGCAAGGATGATTTTCAACATCTGAGTGATAATATACCCAAAACACAAGTTTTGAGTCATAACCTATGCAAGTGCATAGCTTCCATTGATGATTTAAATGAAGAAACCCCTTTTTCCCAGAAAAAAAAAAAAATCGGACTGTCAAAACTTAAAAAACCTCTTCACTATGACTAGAAACTGTGCAATTCTCTGAAAAGCTGTTCAAGTAAATATACTCCTGTTTGCTATGGAGACAGCAGACAGGGAAGCTTAAATTGGTTCTATAATAGTCTTTTCATGCTATTTTAGACATTGTTCTGAACATCAGCTTCTTGTGCTCAAGCGACAAGAACAATTTCCCGAAAGAAACTCCTCCCCTGAAGTAAGGCAACTCCTGACAATCACGTGCAGCTACAGCCTGAAATGGTAGCAAATGATTACGCTATGGTGTCCTTTGACATTTGTATCACAAAATGTAAGTTAACTAGCCTAATCACAGTACGTTTTGACCACTTGTAAGTGTTTTACCTGTTCAAGTTACTTGTCCCAGGAAGTAGGTTTTGCAAGATCTTTAAGTTTGTCACTCTTAAACAAAAAAGCAAACCAAGATTTTTCCATACGAAACACTTCCACAGGCATAGGGATACAGGAACTTAAATAGACTTTACATTGGTAGCTACCAATAGCTTAATTTCCAAAACGGAACAATTATCAATTCACGTTTATAAAATGATTTAAGTATTTTTTGTATATAAATTTTCACTTCAAGTCCAATGTTAGCTTCAATCTGTAGCTCTGGCAGGGATCTGAGAGTATATTTAAAGCTTTTATTTGGTGCACACTGGCTTTGGACCTAGGCTCACTACACAGCTGCAGTAAAAAAAATAAATTTGAAAACTTCAAGCGTGTCTCAAACCATAAACAAATCTTCAAACCCAATATAATATTTTTGTCTTTGGAAAAATAATTTCTTTTCCAATTTTAATGTCAGAATATTCAATGTTGTCTCAAAACATTAGGTTTGAAGTGCTGTCATACAAACTCACTTCAGAAACACACTCGATTTTAGGGGCCTAACTTTCAGTTAATGTAAACAAGAGCTAAACAGCCCACTAAACATAAACCAGAAAATCTGAGATAACCTTCCTTGCCCTTCCCCTCCCATACCATTCACAAACTGAAATTAAAACTATTCCTTTTACTGAAGAAAAACAAAGCTTGCCATCTACCTAAGTCTGCTTTTGCTGCTGACTCAGCCACGGACTTCTTCAAATGTGTCTCATATAGGGCCTGCTCCTCCCCACTATTTTTTAATTAGAATACTGACTTATTTTAACAAATTCAGCCATCTTGTCCATGTTAAGCTTACCTTTAGTCCTATTAGCCATTATCCAATCCAAGCACTGGATTCTACGCTTCGTAAGTATTTGTTCGTTTCACAATGAACAGTTGTTTCATTGCTACTTTTAAGAATTAAGGTGAACATTGAGATGCTCTGTCTGTAATCACTGGATGCACTTAGAAAGAATTTCCCTGCAAATCATGATCAGTATTGTGAGGTTTTATATCTAGCAGCAAAAAAAAAAAAAAAA